CCACACACCAAAATGTGCAACCACACACACACACACACACACACACACACACACACACACACAGCCACCCACCCACCTGCACGCCGCCTTCGGCCACGGAGCACAGGTAGCGGCGCTGGCGAGGGAAGCGCGCCGTGGCGGGGAGGCTGGGCCTCCCGCTGACGGCGGTGACCTCCAGCTCTTGCAGGCAGCTGAGGCGGGTCAGGCAGGCCAGGTGTGCGTCCGGCAGGCCGCCGCCACTGGCCAGCTCTAGCCTGGTGAGGGCCGGCAGCGGCGTGCCGGCTTCCGCCAGCGGTGCCGGCACCTGCTGCGCCGACGCGAGCAGGCTGCGCAGGGAAGAAAGCAGGGCCAGGGCGGGCACAGAGCACTCGGGCAGGGTGTGGGCGTTGAGGGCGAGCGCGGTCAGGCGCCCCGCCTGCGCGGCGGGCTGCAGCAGGCGCAGGAAGGCCGGCACGTGGGTGCTGGTCAGGGCCGCAACGGCGCCGTGCTGCGGGCCGCCCAGCAGCAGCGTCGCCGCCTCCACGTGCGGCGCCACCCGCCCCAGTGCCGCCAGCTTGGCCTCCAGCCAGGCCCGGATGCCGTCCTCTCCGGCGCAGGGGCCGAAGCGCAGGCGGCCGGAGCGCCAGGCGACAAAGGAGCACCAGAGGGGCGGGTGGGACCAGAAGGCGGCGCGCCAGCGGCGGCACACAAGCGTCAGCGCGGGCCTGCACGGCGGGTGGGCGGGAGGGGAGGTTGTTGGGGCGGGGCGCATGGCGGCCGGCGGAGATGGAATCTGAAAGCTTCTTGGGGATGCTGCGGCGCGGTGCAAGCGGCAAATTGGAGGCGTTTGGCAGGGATGGCGGGAGCTGGCATGCCCCTTGCATCCCCCGGCTCACCCCTCGTCCTGCCCCACCAGCTCCAGCCCCGATCGTAGGATGGCATCGGGCAGATCGCCGATCGTCGGGAGCTCGGGCAGCTCTGCGCCCGCCATGGTTTCAGCGCCCTGCTGCCAGCAGTTCACAAGTTCACAACAATTCACAATTGGGGTGGCACGCAGGGCGAGAGTGCGGCTGGCCGCGATTGGAGAGGCCTGGGGCATCTGGCCCAACCTGGGGGTGAGGCTCGCAGCGCACGCGCCATGCCGCCGCTGCCGCCGCCAACCGACCGTCTCCTGAGGAGTAAGCTTAAGAGGCCGGCCGGCTGAGGGAGGGATCGGCAGCCCTCTGCAACCACAGTACGGTGCCAATTTTACATAGTGGCAGCAACAGAGCTCTGCCACTGCCACTCCTGCTAGTGGCGCTGCTGCACACCGGCCGGCCCTTTGGCGGTGTTGCGCAAGTGGGCGGCATCAGCCCAAGCCCGCCGACCAGCGCTCCTTCCTCTGCTCGAGCAGGAGATCCCGCTCGATCGGTGACCCCGCATTACACCCGACCGGCCGCCACAAGCAACCACATTCGGTTGAGGGTGCATCTAGCACATACATACATACATACATACATACATACATACGTGGAGGTGGTTTGGGGGAGGGAGGGCGTGGGCGTGGCGGGGCTTGGGGGATGGAGGGCGGGGGCGCGGCGGCGGCTTGGGGGAGGGAGGGCGGGGGCGTGGAGGTGGCTTGGGGCTGCATGTATTGAAACAAAACGCGAGGAAGTAAAACCTAGTGGAAGGTGTAAGCCGATCATGGCTGCACGGCGGCGGCTGCTTCAGGGGGTGGA